TCTAAAATTCTAACACCTCATCAAAGTACTAGAAGTCTAAAATACAATATAAATAATTGATTTAGATTAAAAAACAAACAAGAAAAAAAATACCTAGGGCATGGACTTTGATGAACTAATCGGCTGAAATTCAATAAAAATAATTAATTTGGATTAAAAACGAACAAGGAAAAAATACCTAGGTCTGGACTCTAATGAACTGATCGACTGATCAGGATCGCAAAACCGCAAGAAGTCGTTGTTGATGAGCCTGGAGCAGTGGAGCCTGGTCGCCGCCGGCCCACCACCGTGTCCATGTCTCCATTGCGGCACGACTCTTCCTCTCCAAGTCACAGTCTCGCGGACGTACGTCACGGTTTTCTCGGCTGCTCGTGTGGCCACGTGGGGAAGCCGCAAGAAATAGAAAGGCCGATGTTTGCTAATAGATTTTGGACTATAGGGTTTGGGGATTGTATACCTGGGCTTGGGCCCCTCCCTCGCCTGCGCCCTCGGCCGTCGCACCCCGTGCCCCTCCCCTAGGGCCAGCACTGCCGCCACCACCGAGCTCTGCTACTGCACCACCGCCATCCTCCGCGGAAAGGCCCTTCGCGACCTCTGCATTCCTTCCCTGCGTCCGGCGTGAGGTGACACGACTCCGAGGGAGAGGGCGGCGCGTCTTGGGGGAGGCATGGACGAGCCCGCGCACCCAGGCGCAGCCGGGGGAGAGGACGGCGCGGCTGGGGGAGGGGCTGCCGGGGGAGAGGGCGCCGTGGCCGAGGGAGGGGCTGCCGGAGGAGAGGGCGCCATGGCCGTGCTCGGGTTCGGGTCTCAGCGATCGAGATTGATGGTATCACGGCAAAAACATGTGAGATGCTGCGAAATTAACAAGATATGAGTATGATTAAAAAAACTCATGGCAACATCTTGATTGGGCAGAGAACTGTGAGGATGTCTCCGAGGCATCTAGTGAAGCTGCAAGACCAAAAGGGTGGTGCATCACAATATATGTGACAGCTAGCTGTGGAGTAATTATGGCCTGTCAATTTTAGGCCTCATTTGCAGGTTTTCTCCTTAAGTGTAGCACTTGAGGAGAAGTTACTTTTTTGGCTCATACTCCTAATCTCAAAACGGTTCCGGCTCCTCTACTATTCACCATAAAACAGCTCCTCCTCCTAAAGTATTTGGTATGGCTCGTAAGCTCCTCCGCAGAAGTCGCTGCCGGAGCCGAAGCCGAAGCCAAAGCCGTGCCAAACAGGAGCCCATAAATTGTCCATCCAAAAAAGACAATTCTAGCATCAATCTTGAGTTTGATCAACTTTATTATGTACGATATATTAAATTATCAATATTTATGTTAGAATTTATATATACGCTAGCCTTAGACCTGCAGAATTCTAATACGCATTAATGTTTAAACATATAAGTGGAGACATGGAAGGTGAGCCATTAATTGGTATCATATTCCATTTAATTGGTTATTGTGACCATGTAAACATCCGTTTAAACACCCATTTTTGCCTGAATAATGGGCTAAATGACAGATGGCAAACTATTTACCATTTAGTGTTTAGGATAACACCGATGATGTTGAGGCAAGAGTTTTAGGAAAGACGCACCATATGGGGTGTGTCTGTTTGGCTGTACAATGGTGGTTGTGGGGGTATAACCCCCCATACTGATAGGGTTGTATACGGGCCGAGCCGCCAAGGGAGGCCTAGCCCATAAGACTGCGCCTGGGCCACACCACTGGTGGAGGCCCAGCCCACGAGACCGCGCCGTACAAGGCACGATACTGATCGGCGTGCCTCGCAAGACTACATGAAGATTTCCGGTGATCTAGGAGACCTGCTCGGATACACCAGATCCCGTAATATCTGTAACTTCTTATCTTGTAAAACCGATTAGGATAGAAACAACTGATCTGTAACCCTACCCTCGAGCTATATAAGGTGGGTAGGGATCCCCTCGTTTTCATCTGATTATACACAATACAATCCACAAAGACACAGGACGTAGGATATTACGTCAAACTGACGGCCCGAACATGTCTAATCGCTGTCTCTTCCCTTCTGTATCACCATCTGGCTCCCTCACGCGCACCTCCATCGATTCATCTACCGTGGGCATACCCTCGGTATATTGCCGGACGTATTTCGTGGACAGTGGCCCATGCAAATGACTAGGGCTCTGCAATTAGGTTTATTATGAAAATATATACAAGATATCATCTAAATTTAGATCTCTCTATAAAAATATATTTCATGAGCGATCTAATAATACTTATTACGCATCATAAACATAAATATTTTTTCATATATATTTGGTCAAAGTTAAGAATCTTTGACTTCTCATGAAGCTAGATTTACATTCTTTTTAGGACGGAGCGAGTAGAATAATGGAGCTGAAATAATATAAAAACACAACATACATTCAGTATATAAAATATACAAATAAATAATACGTGCACTCGTATAGTATATATACAATAATATGTACAAGGGTACAACGAACATCCATAAGAGTAGGTCAAACTATCGACAAAAAACTGGCATACGTACATGTGTATCACATATATATTATGGTATATATGATGTGAAATAAATATTGAGAGCTAGCACAGCAGGTCATATAATGACGATAACTAATGGTAGTGGTGGTGTCCGTGCTTCTTGGCCTCTTTCCTCTTATGGTGCTCGTGGATGGCGAACCCCGCACTGCCGGCGGCGATGGTGGCTGCGATCTCTTCCTTGATCCTGTGCGACCGTGCGTGCTCGGGGTCCTTTTTGGCCTTGTGCTTCTCGTGCACGGCGTATGCTCCCGCGGCGGCGGCGCCGAGCTGGGCCAGCTGCTCCATGTGCTTGTGGTGCTTCTCCTCCTTGCGCCAATCGCCGGCGGCATGCTCGTACTTGTTCTGCTTGTCATGGTGGTGGTGACCCATTGCTACAGCAGGTAGCTAGTTAGCGGTGCAACAACGACGACGATGTGTATATGTAGCGCTAGCAGTATGTGTTGCGAATTGTGTGTTGCGTTGTGTGACGATTTGTATGAAGACGAGAGATGGTTGGGATACGAGACGCCACCCGCATGCATCGATCTACTTATATAGCTAGTGTTGGCGCAGAAACTATCTAGAATTACTACTCCTGTTAGGAGCGAACGCGGATTTGCATGCATACGGAATTCACACGCATACACCATCGTATGTGCCGGTCTGCATCACTGCATGCCCTCTGCCCTTGCACCAAAGCGCCACGCGTTTTGTTGACTTAGTCCATCGGGGACGCGGATCACCCTCCACGTACGGCAATTTCCCTACACAGATATACTCCAGCTGCGTACATACATATACTCCAATTAAATATCAGCAAAAATGATCAAATTTAACTAACCAACTGTTAGCCAAAATAGGATTGGCAAGTAGAAGATAGATTGAAAAACGCATATATGTAAACTAAAAAAGAGCAAAAATGATCAAATTTAGAGCGATATGGGCTAATTTAGAGTTGTCCAGGAAACTGTCCCATGCTGGTTTTGGCAAGGTGCTTGTAATGTTTAGTAGAAACCGGCCTGATCTGGTTTCAGTCTTAAAAAACTCATCCGATCTCGTGGTAAACATGTAAATTACGTGTAGAAAAAAATTTCTACTAAGATAAGATCATCGTCTCTATTTATATGATAGTTGAGAGCATCATAGCCGATTAAAAGATCCATCTATTCAATTGGCAAAAAATCAATGTACTATATTTTTTGCCTTTTTTCCATCTAGTACTGCTGGTTCTTCGTTCTCCGTTGTTGCCGAAGGCTGGTGGTTCAACGACGACAAAGCTCTAGAGTCATCAGGCTGGCTAGGACATTCCATAGCCGTCGCATGTCCTGACAGGTCCCTCCTAGGCATGTGGGGGTTTCGGGTTTCAAGAGAGGTCGTCGATAAGTTTTGCGTATCGCGCTCCTAGCAAAGCTCCTCTGTTGACGCGTCTGGCATTTGCATATTGTGCTCAACACGGGAGGCATCAAGTAAGTGTTAGGGGATGACTCACTTAAAAGTCGGCCAGGCTGATCTTATGCCCGTCTCTACGGAGTGATCTAATTCTTTAATTTGTTGTCGTGTGACCTACAGTAATTAGCATTAACACTAACAGTTAACAGTTTTTTAATATTAACTAGCTAATTATTAGCACTAGTGAGACCTAACTTTAGACTTCATGGCACCGGTTTGTGGCGAAGCTGTGGAAGTCGGCCGCCACACCTTGAGGACGGAAGAGGTCATGCCAGCACGCGTACACGTACGGTCGAGTTGCTTAACCGTGTCGACCGAACGACCCCCACCAGGCAGGCAGGCACCAGCACGTACGGGGCGTAGCACCTGGATGGCTGATCGGCCGTCACTGATTTACATCGACATCAGCTGGAGCACTCAGTTGTTTTCTATACAAAAGAAAAAAAAATCCCATCAGTTAATTAATCCGTCCACATCATCATGTCCGCGTCGATCAATGACTTAATCCGGTGGTGTTGTTCTTGCCGACGCATTGCATACTTTTTTTTTGTCACTGTTGGACTGAGAAATAAAAGTCTTTGTTCAGTCCGTCCGCGGGATTGCTTTGCACACTGACACGTACGTACATAACAGCAAACAGAGCCGTGGACACGCCAAGCAAACCTTCCTAGGAACCTTCCTGCTGTTGGACAGGATGGCTAGGATTCGTTACGAAGCAACCAGCAGCTAACTATACGACGCCTGTGGTGATCCATTTTATCGTTTATTTCACGATAATGACTTGTACAAGCAAAACAAAAATCTTGTACGCGATTACGCGTGAACGAAATTCACCAAAATCCATCAACGAGCCTTCAATTCCGATCCTATATAAACACGAGCAGGTTCCATCCATTTATTGTATCATCAAATACATCCATCCATCAACGCACCGGCAAGCATCAGCAGATCATCATCAAGCAGATCGAACCCCAAGGCAAGCACCGGCCGGCGACTAGCTAGGGCAACTCGATCGATCGAAACAATGGCGCACCACTTCCTGGGCAGCAAGCACCATGGAGAAGAGGCGTCCAAGGTGACCGACTGGCGCAAGGAGGAGAAGCACCACAAGCACATGGAGCAGCTCGGCCAGGTCGGCGCCGTCGCCGCAGGAGCCTACGCCATGCACGAGAAGCACAAGGCGAAGAAGGACCCGGAGCACGCGCACTCGCACAAGATCAAGGAAGGGGTCGCCGCCGCCGTCGCCGTGGGCAGCGCCGGCTTTGCCTTCCACGAGCACCACCAGAAGAAAGACGTCAAGAAGCACCGCCGCCAAGGACACCACCACTAGTTATTATTATATATTCAAGTTAAACTCGTTCATATATGTACCGCCGATTTATACAGTATTTTTAGTATACAAATAAATGGGGTCTCCAATATATATGTATATATATCATCGTAGCGTCCTGTCCTAGTATATATTACTGTGTGTCACGTACTAGTACTTTTTACATGACCTATGTTTGATTTTAAATTTGATTTATTATTGTATATCTTTTTGTTCAGTTCTTTATGTACACTATGACATAGGTTATTTCATCCTTTCTATTCACTATTACCACAAAATAGCAAATCACACTACCGGACTATCAATACGGGTTCCTTTGTGACAAGCAGTGATATTGGATCACTCCCAATTTATAACTACAACCGATAGCGATATGAATAGAACTGACAGTGATATGCACTGATATATCATTGTTGATTACAGCCACAAACCGACATTGAAAACTTACCTACGCTGCTAGTTCATTGCAAAATATATCACTTGTTTTGTACAAAAATTCATAACGTTTTCATACGAAGTTGGATCAAGACAAACTTTATATCAAAATTATAGGCACCAAAGAGATGTAAAAAATTGTAGGTGAAAACTTTTTAAGTTGAGATGGTTTATATGTCCAAACATTAAATATAAGTCCTCAGATTGAATTTGAGATGGTTGACAATCTCGAATGCAGAAAAAGTCAACATTAAAGTTGTTGTACTCGATGAGATGCATCTCTCGATCTCCCATTGGCGTGGCTTGATGTCCCCACAACATCTTTCGATCTCCCATGGTGTAGCTCAACGTCCCCGTGGCATCTTTCGATCACTTGTGGCGTAGCTCGACGTCCTCGCAGTATGTCTTGGTACCCCATGGTGTGGCTCGATGCCCCCGTGACATCTCTTGATCTCCCCGGTATGGCTCAACGTTTCCTGCGGCATCTCTCAATCTCCTATGGCATGCCTCGTCCTCCCTACGACATCCTCAATCTCTCATGGAGTGGCTCGATGCCCCTACATCATTTCTTGTTCTCCCATGGCGTGGCATGACTCGACATCACCATGACATCTCTCCCTCCCGTGATGTCACTTGATGTCCCTGCAACATCTCTCGATCTCTCGCGGTAAGAACATTGTTGGGGGCTACACCTAACAAGATGAACTTCGACAAGCTACATCGTTGGCTATGACCACTCGACCACGTCTTCTGCTACAACCGCTCGGGCACTCCGTCGATGGCCTTTCCCGAGTTGGTCATTCTACCATCAACAATGTCTCTAGCTATGACTACTCGGGCACGCTATTGACGCACCCCCGAGTCAATAATGCCACCTCTGGCAACGTCATTAACCACAACTCGGGCATGCCACTGATGCGCTCCCTCGAGTCGATCTTGCCACAAATGACCTTGTCTCCATCTATGACTACTCGAGCACACCGTCGATGGGCTCTCCTGAGTCAGTCACACTACCATTGGCAACATCCTCGACTATGATTACTCGAATACACTACCGTCAGTCCTGACCTAAATCATCACTAGGTATGCTCAACGCGTGCTCAGAATAAGAAGACAATGAATTCAAGTTTATCCTTCAAATGATTCTCCAATTTTAATTTGTACCATGACTTTGGGTTGGCAATTTGGTTGAGTAAAAATGATGTTGTATTCAAAAGAACCATACCTAACTCATTTTTGCAAGTCATCTTCATGGGGATATATTGGATCAGTCAATGGTCGCGGCATTCTAAAGAAAAAGCAAAGATCTGCATTAAAGGACGGATGGAAAATGTTGAAAGTGGAGTTGGATGGAGTTCTTCAACAAGTTTGGATGGAGAAACAAGGGCTGGATTGAGGCTTGAGTTTGTAATTATTGTGTCGAGTTATATACTTCTGTATTGCCTTTTGGTGGAAAGTAGTCTAAGTACTCAGTATTTCGACATTTGTATCGAAGGGCTATACTCATTCCCCGGTGGATGTGGAAAACCGGAATATTTCATATTCCTTAACTTAAAAAATATATCTAAAAAAGGGTGTAACCAGTGTATAGAGCTCTCGCTCTGTGCGGGGTCTGGGGAAGGGTGTCAGTGGCAAACCTTACCCTCGCCTGTGCAATGCGAGGAGACCGCGACTCAAACCCGTGACTTTCCGGTCATAGTCTCACTAAATCAAACTTGAAATGTGCATTGATAATAAACTTATTTGATTTTGTAAATGTTAACATATTTGTCTATAGTCTTAGTAAAAAAGACAAATTTGACTGACAACAGAACTAAAACAAATTACAATTTAGAACAGGGCTAGTAGAATCTTATATGAGGGCCTGTGCTTCAAGTTCATTGATAAACTAACAATGTTAGCTAAAATTGTAAGCTATAATAACATGAAAAGATGTTTTTTTTGTGTGTGTATGTGTGGAATGGGTTACAAAAGTTTAGTTCTGTGATAGTACTTACCATTGCAACCACTGGTTTAGGTTCTCTATTATTATTTCTTCAACATTTTGTGGTGCTGACCACTACTACAGGATTTATTTTAGGTGGCGTTGCCCTTTTTTAATGGAGGCGGGCACTCTGTTTGCCCGCCACCGTTATTCCCAAGCCGGCTAGCCTCCCGAGCGACCGCCTCGGTCACCTTAGAAAAACATTAACGGAGGCAGGCAAGTTAAGGGTGCCTGCCTCCGTTAATAGACATTAACTGAGGCGGTTGCCTTAAAGCGCCCGCCTCCATGAAAAGATTAACCGAGGCGGGCAAGAAAACCGTCTCTATAAAGTCAGGATTAACCGTGATCTTTGATGGGAGGCGGTTGCAATGCCCGTCTCCATTAAGTTTTCTATACCTGTGGACGTAGCTTATTACGTTGTCGCATGCTTAAATAAATTTTGAATTGCTAATATCAGAGTGAAGTACTAGATACTCAATGCATAGCTCCATTTGTTCATCATATAATGGTATATAAGCAGCAACACCACTAGATCCAACACGTCTGGTCCTTTAGAGCTTGTTTAGATGCACTCATATCTACATTAGTCCATATGTGTTAGAATGGATTAGGGACAATTTACTCCCTACACATGTGGACAAGTTTACATCTAAATAAGGCCTCAATCATACCCATACCAACTGGTGGGTGCCAATTCTTATTTTAAACACAGCCAGGTATAAGGCCTCAGAGATGGATACCACATGGTATCTAGGTCTGCCAGAAAGTGTCAACACTGTTCTTTCCCGGCATGCAGTGTTTGGACAAACCTCTTCACCAATGTGAGCACAAGTGCACAACCAAATGTTTGGGGAACGATCTGTCCAGATAAAAGGCGGTAGGTAATATGTTAACAAAAACTGCAATAAACTACCAACTTTAACCTTGTTCGCTAGAACTACTTTTCAACCAACGAACAGTGTTTTCCTCTCACAACAAATCAGCATAAGCATCAGCATAAGCCAAATTTCATAAATGAACGTGGTGGCTAAAATAGACATGACCGAACTTTAAACTCTGGAAGTCAAACCAGGCCAGCACTAATGATTCATAAACTTACAAAACATGCAAAGACACATTGCACAGAATAATAGAGGAACTCAAGCTGGTCTTACGAGGTTGCAGATAACTGGCATGCTAGCAAGCGGCATACTGTACTCAAACAACAGAGTTTAATCTCATTAATGATGTACACTGATCCCCATATGAGGACAGGGATCCTATGCAGTTGCAATAGCTGCACCATACCATCAACAAAAGAGTACAGATTTACACAAATACTGTAGCAGTTCGTTTGGTGTGTTGCTTCTAAATCAACTGTTCAGATTATTGTGCGGTCGCTGTGGTGCAGTTAGCAGCAACTGCACCTACTGATCCCTTTGCCCTGTAAGAGTCAACTGATTGTAAAGTTAAAACCTACAACTGCACCTACTGATCCCTTTGCCCTGTAAGACTAAGTCAACTGATCGCAAAGTTAAAACTCTATAATACTAGTATACAGTTAGCATTTAGCAATAATAATACGTGGCAAAACTAAGAGATTTCCACCTTGATGTTGATGTTTGTGCCTTTGTGGGATGAGTTAAAAGCAATACACAACCAAACATTAGTAATGGTTTGTAGTATTGCGTAATATGACGATTTTCATCAATTTCATCAGTTCCAAGCACAAAAAAAAAGGTCTCAAAATGTAGAAAATATAGATGAAAATCAACAATTCTTATTTAAAGAAAAATCAACAAATCTTGCCACTACAAAAGCGATGCATTGGGGAACTAAATGGTTCAACTTTATCTTATCTGTAACAAATGAGCTGATCATCACACTTCCAACATGAATAAATGTGCACAGGCTTGAACATTTTCCTTTTGTGCCATGACCACAACTGAAAATTATGTGCACAGATGGGATGCTTTTGTGCAATGACCATATTTCACCGAATGATAATACCAACTTGTACTCCCTATGTTCTCTTTACAAGTCCTTTAGGACATGAACACAGCTCATAAAGCTTATGGAGGTATGCATGCTATTGCTTACACAAAAGCTGCAGATCAATTGATATCATTGTATAATAATTGCAAAACAGTTGAGTTGAAGGGCAACCACAAAACAGTAACGAGAGTAATTCTAAAGAGCAACCACTTAAAACATACTTCACTGTTATAGGTCAATAGACATTCGGATGACTATAATTAGTTACACATATAGGGTTCAGGTAAATGACTCATGCAAAGTGACCTTAGTTACTACCATAACAACCAAGATTCAACCATTAGTTACCAGTAATTGCAAGAAAAAGTTATTTCAGTTCTAAACTCAAAATTTAAGCAGGTAGGTAGGGAAATTAAACCATGGGCTGTTACCTGGCTTGAAAAAGTTTTCAGAAACCTTTATCCAGAGCTTTGATCATCAATAAAGATTGTCCCTAATAAACCATAGAACACTGGCCGGTAAGCTATACAAAGTAGGCACACACAGACAGTAATACTGGCCAGTAAGCTACACAAAGTAGCCATACACATATAGTAAAGAATGGAACAAAGCTGTCTTTGCAGTAAAGAGATATGATTCTTCCCCGCCCCCCCCCATCTAAAAAAAAATCCAATAACCCATAACTAACTGTCTGGATTAGCCTCCCAAAGCTTTGACATGGCTGGTGGAACTATTTTGGTGGCACACAAAAAGACAGTGCAAGACTAGTAGACTTGATGCATGACAGTATTGTGGAAAGCCATAAGCCCATAGGGCACAAACACAAGGTAAATTAAATGCCTCAAGCTTGCCAATACAACTTTTACTGCTATACATGGATAAAAAGTGCACAAATTAATAAAAAAATAAAAGTAATGAAAAATTGTTCACCATACATTTGCTCTTGGTAAAATTGGTTGGAATTTGAATTTTTTCAAATTTATATACAACAAGTTATTAGTTATTACTCCCTCCATTGACAAAAGGATGCAATTGTCACTTTTCGAGGAGTCAAATGATTTGAAGTTTGACCAAAGTTATATAAAAAGTACTAGCATTTATGATATAAAATAAGTAATGCTAAATTAATTAAATATATTATCATAGTAAACCTAGGTGGAGACATAAATGTTAATATTATTCACTATAAACTTGATCAAAGTTAAGCTAGTTTGACTTGCACAAATCCCATAGCAGCATACTTTTTGGGACGGCTATGGGATTTGTCCTAAGTCAAATTAGTCTAGCTTTGACCAAGTTTATAGGAGAATACAAATGCATCAACATCTAGCACATCAAATCAGTTTCATTAAATCAACCTTGAAATATGCATTGATAATACATTTATTCAGTATTGTAAATGTGAATATATTTGTCTATAAACTTGGGACAAAGTTAGAGAAATTTGACTTAGGATAAAACTAAAATAACTTACAATTTAAAACGGAGGGAGTAGTATCTGTGGCATAAGTGTTACAAAAAAAAAAAAAAAAAAAAATCAAGTGTTTATGCATGTTGAGAAACCATATATCATTGATGTTAGTTAAATAACAAATAATAATGTCAGACACATTTGACTCCTAAGTGTTTAATTTAAATTTAAATTTCAGGCACACTGGACTCTCTTAAGTGTTTGTTAATTTAAAATCCTCTCAAGTGTTTAATTTAAACTTAAGCATACATAGCATCATTCTACACAGAGAAGAAGTGGATAGTGTATTCTCTATGGATCTGGTTTCTCTATATTGGTAGGAAAATCCTCTATTGATTTGAAGTTTCACTATTTCTGAATTGGTAGGGAAGAAAATGACTGATGATCTGCAGCTGCAAACAGTCATCTACCCTGTTAGTCACCATCCAATTTCAATATACCCAAACAGCGAGGTAGATTGGACTCCAAAGCCCCTAAATGCAACCAAAAAAAGATATTCAATGTGAGGCGTAGTTTGGACAAGTTAATGTACACGTGCAACTGTACTCAAAACGAAACGAACATTTTACTCCATTTAAATTAGGTTTGTACAATTATCTTTCAAAATTTGTAAAAGATAGCCAACAGTGAGCTAAAGGATTGAAGAGACATTTAATGTCATTTGTATGGTTCCCACAGTCCAATAATTTGCCAGTCAACCTTGAAATTCAAATCAATATGAGTAGTGTTGTCTCAAAGCAGCAAATGGAAATCTGGTCTTCTAATAAAATAAACAATTCATAACTACTTTTAAAATAAATAAACCAACCCAGGAGATAGGAAGCTTTATATTACGGACTTTCGGAAAAACTAGACATGCTATGACAAGGACTAAAACTTAGATCGTCTAGGTGTGCATCCACACCCTTCACCAACTCAGGTAGGTTCAGTTCCTAAATGCGTTGCTACTTATGAAGTAATTGCTTCCTAGCAGTACCAAGTTACAAGGATTTGTTGATCTCTTACCAAAGTTTACCTTTATAACTTTCAAATATATAACATTAAATCGCTTGTTACCAAGAGTAAGGAACTGGAGGGAGGAAATAAAAGCATCCCTATCTTCTAAAGAAAAATATAAAATAGTGAGCTTAGCAAGCCCTTTCTCCTCACAGGCAAAATTAACCATTATGACATTATATCTCGATCATAAAGTAAATGGGCAAAAGAATCAACAGGAAGATATCCACACATATGAAACATAGAATCTAACAACAGCAAAATTACAGCATAAGATTAACGACTGAAACAGGCATAACACAAACCAGATACAAATTTCACGAAAATATGAGGATGTGAGAAGCCAGTTGCATGTATATTATCTTACAGCAGGGAGGATATCTAACTGGCTTCTCTGAGCCTCTTGATCAGGGTATCCAGAGATTTCTTCTTTGGGTTCTGCCTGGCACCCCTTGTCCCGAACGTTGAGAAATAACTCTCTGAGGTATCTCTAAACTTCTCTGAGATGATTGCAACCTTTCTATAATCTAGCTTGTTATAGCTCTTTTCACGGATCACTGGATTTAGGAAATTCTCTGGACTATTGCTCATAAGAAGATTCACTAGCTGCCTTGCTTCCACTAGTGCACCCTTCATTTCATTTTTTGCAGATTCTTGACCTGAGTCCACAAACAGGCTAGACATGCCCTCTGCAAATGTCTCAAACATTTTGAGATCAGTATCTATACCAGTGACCGCATTGGCATTGAACCGCTTTACTGAATCGTTCAAGAAGAGCTCGATGATCCTTTCAGAGATGTGGGCAAGCACTGCCACAAGTACACGGCGGAGCACGGGAAGGGGAAGGATCTGCTGTGCAGTTGATGTGAGCGTCTCAAGGTAGATGATGACCTCGTTTGCATACTCATTGCCGCCAGGAGGAGGGTCATCAGCCATCCAGTTGACACCATCAGATTGCCGCATGAACTCGTCAGCCTTGGCACGCAGAAGCCGCAGCAGGAGTGCCTCTGCAGTATCACGTGACCTGCGAAGTGGGAAGTCCCGCCGACCACGCTCCACAGCACGCAGCGGCACACCACACAGTTGCGCAGCATGGCGTGTGAAGAACTCGCATGCCCGCTCCATCACAGACATGTTAGCAGCAACCTGCATTGCCTGGGACACACTTAGACCACTGCCTGAATCCACAAGCTTTTGAATCGAAGCATCCACCACCTCAGAGAGGATCCGACCAAGGTACTTCTTCACTGCTGCATAGGTATCCCCACCACCCCCATGTGCCATGAAGCTCACAGAATCTTCAACGAATGAACGAACAATACGGCAAATGTCTGGGACAGTGCATGAAAACGGTGCAACATATGGGAAAGCTGGGGTGATGTCTGAGCTCTGAATTCCAAATGCAAGGACATTCATTGAGTACTCATACTCCTTTCTCATGAGCATCTGATCAAACTTATCTGCAGCCAGTGCCTCTGCCACCTGCCTACGGCAATCTGCAAGCAGCAAATCATGGTACTTGTCTCTGTGCTTAGCCAGCACATCCAGCAGCATCCCTACTGGATAACCATACCGCCGCATTGTGGCAGAAAGCAAAGCAGCATAATCAGTGATGAGAAGCAAGTGGTTTGCTGTCTGCATCCTGGAGAAGTTGTCTTCCATCACAGAGACCATCTTCCCCACAGCGGCATCCCAAAGTGCATCTACATCTGGCCGAGATGTGAGCCCACCACCTGTTCTAAACACCCGGTCCTCAACAATAAAGAACCCAGCAATCTGCGAGAAAAACACCTGGTGGGACTCGAGGAATGGTGTCGCCGCAATGACATCAAAGTCCGATGTCAGCTGCAGCTTCCTGTTTTCCAGGTAGTACTTCTTGAACCGCTCACCCAGCTCCAGCGTCTGGTGTATGTGCATCGCTCGATAGAGCGGTGTAAGGTCAAAAGAGGCTGCAGCGGCACCATCTGCTGCGTCAGCTGTTGCCGCGGCTGCCGCAAAATCATCAAGGTCACCAACTCCATCGTCATCCAAGGTGATGCACTCCTCCAGCGGGCGGTGTTTGGAGCGGAGCTCCTCCTGGCGCTGCCTGGCGGCAGCCGAGCGGCCGATGGCCACCTGGCCGAGGTGCCTCGAAGCGGCGCGGATGCTAACCATCCAGTCGGAGAACTCCCTGGAGATCTCGCGCTCGGCATGCGCGCGCACCGCAGGGACGACGCTGAGCAGCATGCGGCGGAGCGTGGGTAGCGGCAGCGGCTCGGGTCCCGAGGCGAGATCACGGTCGATGGCGTCGACAGCGCGCAGGGCGAGGTAGAGCCCATGGTTGCCGGCCTGGAGGTGCGCGTTCGCCCGCGCCGCGAGCGCAAGCAGCCGCACGCACCGGCGGGAGGAGGCTAGCGCGGAGGAGAGGTTCCCCGCGAGCGAGCGCGCGGCGAGGAAGGACTCAAGCGAGGCGAGCAGCGGGGCCGCCGAGGAGAGAAGCGCGGAGTGGGACGCCGAGAGGGAGCCCTTGAGCGCGTCGGCGTCGGCCAGGAGGGACCGGAGGTCGTCGACGGCGCGGATGAAATCGTGGAAGTGCGCGCGGCAGAGCTCTTCGATCTCGGCCTCGCGGTCCCGCGCCGCGCCGCGGAGCGAGGCAAGCAGCGGCTCGGGGCGGCCGCACGCGAAGGCCCGGCGCACGAAGGGGCCCAGGTCCTCCCCGGCCGCGATGGCGGCGGAGAGCTGCGCGAGGTCCGCCTCGGACGGCGCGGATGCGGACGACGCATGACCGGGCCCCGCCGCCGACAGCGGCGCGTCGCCGGGGAGCTTGCGCCGCATCGAGATCTGAGGCAGGCGGTAGGGATGGTAAGCAACTTGGTTGGAGGCAGCTCAGCAGTTGCCGAGTTGTGAAGAGGAAAGAAAAAAACTGGAGATTAGTCGACAGAAACGAACGGAACAGGAGGGGCCGTCGGAGAAGGTGGGTTGGGTGGCCGGAAGTGGGTCCGGCACGTCGGTGAGTGTTTGGAAGGAAAGCCAAGTGCTTGCGTGACGGTGACGGGACGGAGGAAGCGGAGGTGACTGCGTATTGTTGAACGCACACGGTGGTACGTAACTGGTACGTCATTGGACAGTTGACCCACGTTGTGAGAGAGCTGGCCGGCGGGTCTCAGCTGGTAAAAGGAGACTGCCGAGAGCCTGAGATGGCAATTGCAATGGGAACCGCTGGGTTTTGCTAACCCAAACACATCCCGTCAATAAAAAGTCTACCTACTAAAGCCAGTCTTAATGTAGATTTTATAGGAATTTCATACACATTAAATAGGGTGACACATCAGCAGAAATAGAGCTTTTGCATGTATCGAGGAGAAGAGAGGAGAGAAACGTTTCATGGGGACGAAACGAGTGAGCGTTGTTTCCAAAACGTTGGATACCGGATAAAACCTCCACTGAGAGCCTTCGTTCGTTTCATCCGCGTGCGGGAGGGGAAGGCGACGCGGGAGGCCGCTGCCGGAGGGGATGGTGGCGCGGGAGGCCGCCGCTGGAGGGCAAGGCAAGCTCCGCCAGCCGCAGGCGTGAGCTCACCATGAGCTTCACCGGGGTGGCTTCACTGCCCGACCTCGGCCTTGAGCTCCGTGGGCTGGTGACTCGAGGGGATGGCGGGGTGAGCAGGCCTTCTGCCGAAAGCTGGCTGCGAACTCCGCCAAGAGGGCACCTTTGTCGTCGATCTTGAGGTTGTCCGTCCGTGGCGAGGTCAGGCAAGGGGGTCAGGCGACTCGGGCGGTGTGGCGACAAGCAGGGCGCAGCCGAGAGTGTAGGATCTCTGGTTGGCCTAGAGGGGGTGAATAGGCCTATCAAAACAAACACTTAAACTTTTATCAAATTCATCATCTTTGATCTTTGCATCGAGAGCTGGAGAGGCAGACTGCTTGATCTCGCACCGCGCAAAGCCGTAACAAGTGGCATCGCCACACCTACAGACAACTCTGAGTCACAGTTCAAAATCCGTGAACAAAAACTTAGATCGGAGAAATTTCCTAGCTTACTGCAGGTATGACAATCACAGATCAAGAGTTAGAAACAGTAGGAACACCACACACAAATAGATTGACTAGAAACCCTAGAAATCACCTCAGCCATAATATGTCATGCAAGTAATGTAAATCAAGCACAAGTGGCATAATGATTTATCCCGTGATTTGACTCGCCACCAAGGCTTGCCTACCTCCACGTTGTTGAGGTTAGCCACTAAGGCTTAGGGCTTTCCAACCCTTCATCGTTCTCAAGTCAAGAGACTTAACTCTTGAGATGAGGGATGAGTTTACTAGCTTCAAGAGATGGTTATAAACCTCTCAGGGCTGCCACACAAGTTGACAAGCTCCACAGGCGACGCTCTAGCCGGCTAGAGCCAAGCTCCAAGAGTAACAAACACAACCGCCGGTCAAAACGTGAACCAAGTCCTCTTTAGAGTTGAGGGATCAATGCAGCTGCTCTCTAACCGAGTTTTGAACCCTTTTCCTCAAGGATTGATGAGAAAATCAATGAATTTGTTTGGAGGCTTGAGGTCAACAATGGAGGGAGAGAGAGAGCTCCTGCTCTGTTTTGGGCGTGCTGAGGTGAGGAAGAAGAGGCAGAGTGCCGTTGGGAAGGAAAGGGAAGGATATAAATACCCCCAGCCCCCAACGGTCACTTAAGTCGCGGTAGTGCCGCACTGCGGTAGTGCCTTTCTTCAAGTGCGGCAGTGCCACACCACGCAAGACAGCAAGGGTAAGAGTGAAGTGTAGACTATCTTGGCTACGAATCTGAGGATGCATGTGTATGTTTGAGCACTTGGTAGCATATATTAGCTTAAGCATTATGTCTCCCTTTATAGTACGGCTTTTCCTATACTCAAATTCAAAATATAAAAGAATTTAAACCTCCTTTGAGTTTGAAGTCATCTACATTTGTAATTGGGGGCTCCTCCGTTTAGTGTAGCATCCTCGAACATGAATTCCCTGCTTGTCATCTCGATAAATCGCATTAGTTCTCTAATTACGTGGTCATTATCACCAAAACCCATAATTAGGGCTTGATTGCATATTCAATCTCCTCCTTTTTGGTGATTGATGACAACCCAATTAGAGCTTACAAAAGATATGAAATAAATACTAAGATTTTCAAGCCATGGGTGTAGAGCCTCCCCCTAAGTATGTGAATAGAGAATCGAATTCTCAAATTGACATAAGAAGCCAAGATTCATATTTTAGTGAAAGTGATGGGGCTCCCCCTACATCTATGCTCCTATGGGGTGCTGCATACTATGTCAGGTATGTAAAATGTGATGCAAATGATAGTTTATGCATAACATGGTTTATTGTTGCAGCTGGGTGTGGCACTGTCGCACTAGAGTGCAGCACTGCCGCACTTACTGTAACAACACAGATCAGAACATACACTGCGCAACATGTGATACATATAAAGATATACATTCTAGCACAATTGTATCATAATTGACAGCATAGATTAATATATGTCCATATCCCACACATAAAAAAGTACTTAAGTAGCATTATTACATAAATAGAGTTTCTAATGGACTCTCAAACTCTTACCTAACGAAGACTACTCTAAACGGATACGAACATAACTCTAGCTGCAGCAACCTCCATGGCATCAAAAAAGTTATTGACCCCTCTAATTTTCTCCCCCTTTGGCATAAAAGCACCAAAAAGAGAAAAAAAGAAGAAGGACCAATACTCACTCCTCATCCTCTTGGATGGTGTCCCAATTGACATCATCCCCACCAGCAGCTCCACTAGCACCTGCAACGTCCTCCTCTCTCCACCACCATCATCGAGGAGGAGGAGGAGGAGGAAGAAGAAGAAGACACCACCGCCCTCCCTTGGTGATGAGTGGTCGAAGTGTGGCGCTCACGCCTAGTGCTCCTCCTCATGAACTACAAGGTGGTCCTCAAACTGGTGTAGGGATCAAGCTCTGGCTGCTCCTGCTCCTCCTCCTCCTCGTCCTCGGAATCTGTGTCGGATAGGCTAGGGAGGTCATCAAACCTCGACGGTGATTGAACTAGAGAAAGACATGGCAGCCCTGCATGCTCTCTAGCCTCCTAGTTGGCTTCACGGTTCTCCAACCGGTCCTGATATGCGGTCCTCGCTGCATAGGTGCAAGTGGTGAAATTGGCCTTAATCCATCTCCCAAACTTCTCCATCTTCTTTTCCCTGCGAGGCCTAGATCAGGACGACTCAGGCACGTCCTCAACTGATGGAGAGCGTCTCACTACCCTGCTAGCACCTGCTCCTCGGGTCTTCTTAATTTTGTAGACGGTGTGAAGACCATCTTTCTCAAATCTATAGCCAGAGACCCTCTCAATCATAAACATAAGATATGGGGCATAGGTATCCCCTTTCTCCCATTCTCCATGGCGTTCCTCAGCTCACGCCATATGAAGCGAGGGACATTAAACCTGTCACCTCCTGTAGCAAATCTAGCAAGCACATTCCTCATATATCCATTAAAATCAGAAGCTGCTCCATCCTTGGGATTGATAGTGTGACTGATCAAATTGTTTAGAAAGTAATAATAGCTCTTCAGGCCATTGACCTTCCCATCTGCACTTCTCCTATCAATCCACATATATGCAATGTCACGGATCTCAGCTCTAGCCTCATCATAAATGTAAGTGAAGCCCCGCTCCTTCTCTCCAAAACTAAGGATCCGGCTGAAAGTCACAAAATCAACTCTATAATGCCGTCCCTCAGTCATCCAGTGAATCTCATCAGTGTAGATACTATAGAAGAAAGTGGCATGGAACTGGGCTAGCACTTCCTCATTCTAATTATATCTAAAGCTCATAATATCAGTGAGGCCAAACAACACACAAGCCTTGATCACCTTATTAAATTATGGCTCATTCTTTGCCTTCATCTCCTCCCAATCAACATACTGTATCTTGACAACTTTAGATTTCTTGGAGTTGAAGTTCACAGATGCATAGAAGTTGGAATGAAACTCATTCCAAAACCTATTGTCTATCTCTAAATCCTTTGGCTGCTCATAGGGATTGTTCTCATGTGCTTCCTCCACCATCTTCAGCTTTCCCATATAGTTGAGCATGGGATGAGCACGTGTGTCAACAGGACGCCTCATAATCACATCCTCAAAATATTCTCTGATGTAGCTCCTGTCAAACTCTTCAAGATGAGGTGGAGTATCTGGGCAAGCATCTAGAGAAATAGTGCGGCTAGCCCTCTTTAGGTTCTCCTCCTCCTGGATCAGCTGATCTCTCCTCCCGCTGTCTCTAGCAACATCTCTGCCTGCTACATTGTTGCTGCCCCCTATGGTCCTGCCATGACCATGACGAGGCATCTGCTTATCCCGAGGCTCTGTCATCTTCCTCTTCTCCCTCCGGTCATCATCACCTCTAGAGGACATCTATGCAAACAAATATAGGTCTAAATAAAAAACTGTACATAAGGGGTATCAAAGAATACTTGTAAAACACTATGGATAGATGAGATGATTCAAATCTCGAGTTAGGAAAGTACTCTGAACTAATCAGGTCATAGGGTGTGGCACTGCCGCACCTAGTGCTTCACCTCTCCCACGATTCAATTCTTCTCAACTATTCAGACTATTTCTCAAACATTCTCCTAAACCACTAGATAATCTTAGAATGAGTAGGCCTAAACAAATACAAGGAGTTGCCTACAATGTAGGTAAAGTGGCTATATGTTTAAGATAGAGACAAATCTGGTGCACAAATCCAACCAAAACAGAGAGTCATCGATGGAACACCATCTATATTTACAAGTTCAATCTGTTGAGTGTGGCACTGCCGCACCCAA